GACAACCCTGTTATCAGCTGTGTGATACATCCACCTGTCTATACAGACCACCCTGTCTATAGCGACCACTCTAGACAACCCTGTTATCAGCTGTGTGATACATCCACCTGTCTATACAGACCACCTGTATATAGCGGCCATTCTAGAAAACCCTGTTATCAGCTGTGTGATACATCCACCTGTCTATACAGACCACCCTGTCTATAGCGGTAACTTTAGGCAACCCTGTTATCAGCAGTGTGATACATACACCTGTCTATACAGACCACCCTGTCTATAGCGACCACTCTACAGCTGTGTGATACATCCACCTGTCTATACAGACCACCCTGTCTATAGCGACCACTCTACAGCTGTGTGATACATCCACCTGTCTATACAGACCACCCTGTCTATAGCGGCCACTCTAGGCAACCCTATTATCAGCTGTGTGTTACATTCACCTGTCTATACAGACCACCCTGTCTATAGCGACCACCCTAGACAACCCTGTTATCAGCAGTGTGATACATCCACCTGTCTAAACAGACCATCCTGTCTATAGCGACCACTCTAGACAACCCTGTTATCAGCTGTGTGATACATCCACCTGTCTATACAGACCACCCTGTCAATAGCGAGACCACCCAAGACAACGTTTTTAAAATATATTCGCACTCGGGTAAACCCCGGGCGTTGCCCGGGCCATTCGTCTAGTGATTAATAAAATGTATCTATATCTCTTTATTATACAGGGTTATCCGAAAGTCTTGCACAAATTAAAAAATTAATAACTCCGCGAATATTTGCGCTTGAGCAATGTGGGAAACACCATTGTGTTTAGGATGCAATGGGATTTTTTAAGGCAAATAATGGAAAATACGAAATTGATTTTAGTTACAATTTTATTCGTTAGATGGCGCTCTACCAGAATCAGAGATTCAGCGGCCAAATTGTTCGATAAATTTAAAAATATAACTGATTGACATGTATTTTTCCTTTTAGATTACCAGGAAAGAACCCTAATAATATCAAGTGATAATTTAATAAAACACCATTTCGACAAAAGTAGAAGAATTGGTTGACGATTTTTAAATACAATCTGAGATGTTTAAAATAGATATATGCAAATTAAAACATGTAGCAAAATATCATATTTTAGATGCGGTTTGCTGGAATCATCTCAGCTATTTAAATTTTGAAGATAATAAATTTAATTTTTTTTAAATTCAACTCTCTTTCAGTATCGATTAGATTTATTTTAATTCATTTGAAAAAAAATTATCTCTGATAACACAGGTCTAAAAACTTTTAAAATTTTTGATGTTTTAGCATTCAAAATGCTTTTTAGGTAATCCAATCGCGCTGATTCCGAATCTGCACTTAGTTTTTATGTATGCCATCAAAATCTATAGATAATGACCATAAAGTGTATTTCACCAAAATAATATTTTTATTAAAAAAACTGACAAGACATAATGATTGCTTCATAATTTTTACAATCATCATATCTCAAATTTCTTCTAAAACATGCGCCATTAATTTCATAAAAAAATAAAATTTTAACAAAAAAAATGAAAAAATAACTTCGAAACATTCTATTATCACTTCTAATTTGAAATTGTCAAAAATCAAATAGGTATTTAAATTTTTAGTGAAAAAATATTTTATTCGCATAGGTTAAATTTATTAAAAATTATTATATAAAATCATAATTCATTTAAAAGCTATGCATCAACTTTATGAAAATAAAATTTCAACACATTAATAAATACACTTCCTGATATGGATTCCAAAAGATCCTGCAAAAACGACCCAAATAATTTATCTTATATATGTAGTGAATATACTGTGTCTGTTCTCTGTACACCCCTAGCTTTAGAAACTTTGCGCAAAAAAAATACAAAATGATTGTACTACCACGTTTATCAACGCTAAAGGTTTATCTATTTTTTTTTTCTGAGGGGACACATTTTTAAAATTGTGTACAGTATAATAAGCAATGATAACATTTGACAACCCCAAGGATATTTGTAATTAAGTACGACAAATATATTTTGCCACTCCCCTTTATATTTCATTTGCTGGATCATGAAAAATATCCAGATAATTAGCAAGTGTCGCCAATTAGTCAAGAAACTACGCATTTCTTATAGCAAGAAACCCTATTAGTAGTGCCATCATAATTTTTGGTACTATATTAACATTTCAAAAAATCGTGTATTGATATCAGTAGTATTTTCAAAACATTCAATATATTTCACAAAACTCCATCTAAAATATAAATATTCTTTGCTACGTATTTTAATTTGCATATACCTATTTTACATATCTCAGATTGTATTTAAAAATCCTCAACCAATTTTTCTACTTTTAGCGTAATGGTGTTTTATTAATTTATCACTTGATATTATTAGGGTTCTTTCCTGGTATTCAAAAAGGAAAGATACATGTCCATCAGTTATATTTTTCAATTTATCAAACAATTTGGCCGCTGAATCCCTGATTCTGGTAGAGCGCCATTTAGCGAATAAAATTGTAACTAAAATCAATTTCGATTTTTTCATTATTTACAATAAAAATTCCCATTGCATCCTGAACACAATGTTGTTAACCGCATTGCTCTAGCGCAAATTTTCGCAAATTATGGTAAGGACAGGATCTGTTCGCCAGAATTCCTCTGGGTCGAAAGTCAAAATAATTTACACGTATAGAACTTCCTAATAAGTCTATGCTCAGGTCCTATGTTTTAATGAATTTTCGAGTTGATTTGGTTGAGATTCCACCGATTGTTCAACTTAGTGAGAGAGATTCATTAAAAAAAAACAGGTTTGGAAGTATTAAAATTGACATGCCTCAAATTTTTCCAATCAATCTATTTTTATTTGTTGGAGAATTAACCTTCATCCTTTGCATTGAAGTTAAGTGTCTATCTTTTTTTGTATAATCATTGCGGGAATATTGAGAGGAAATAGAAATTGATAAATCTTTATATATGTTTCTTACATATTTCGCAAAAGTGATACAATGTTATTATAATGTGTTATTTCTTTCAGATGTTATAGAATATCCTTTAGAAATCAAATTTCAAATAAACCCGGGTATTCAGTGTTTATATCTGGAATCACATTAAGAAACTCCATTTTTATAATTGGTTTTATAGATTTTATTTTGTTCAATCTACACAATAGGAAAGGTAGCATATGTGGCGATACCGCACTGGTTGTTCTTGTTGCGGGACATTTTGATGTAGCCCTTCTCGCCCCACGATTCAGTCCAGCTGGAACACAAAAATAGATTACAATTAATGTCAGGTTTCTAGATATATAAAAATAGTCCATAAATAATTTGTATTAGAATATTTTTGATGTATTTTTAATGGAAAGTTCATTCAAATTTATACACACCTGTTCTTTACCAGCCAGTAGTCCATGCCATTCTCTTGACCATAACCAACCAATAGTACACCATGGTTTAGGCTCCCCATAGCATTTGCGCAATCAGGATTGTTGTAAACACCACCTCTATACATTTGGAAATTTCCTCCGGCGTCAATGGCGATGGAGATTGGTCCCTCAGCAGCCAAAGCTTGCTTCAGACTTTCTTCATCTTGATTAATACTCTTGTAGCCCTTGCAAGTTGCACCAATGTTGGATTTATTGTAGTGGCAATCGTCGTTCTGAAAAAAATTTGTTAGTTCATGATTATTCAAATTAAAAAAAAAATACTTACATAACCCAGGTAAGGATAGGATTCTTCTGTGTCAATGCCACCATTTTTCATTATATATTCGAATGCATCTCTCATTAATCCTCCACCGCAACCATCATTTTTAGTAGAGCAATCCACAAGGTTCTGTTCACTCAGAGACACCAGCTTTCCAGACTTGCGGTAGTGCTGACCTTCCAAAGCTCCTGTGGTAGAGAAAGCCCAGCAACTGCCACAGTGTTCCTGGTCCTTCACTTCTGTGACGTAGCCCTTGGAACGCCAGTCAAGTGAACTTGGGAGTTCCATGTCTCCAGATGGCTCATATAGATCCATTGTGCGGTCTTCAGATATGATCAGGCCATTCATGTGTTTGTTGAATTCATGGCTAGACTGGGAACACAAGGAATTTTTCTTATTTTCAAATTAAAATTTAACCTTATTCTCATAATTATAATTTATCTATCTGAATTTAGTATTATTATAACCTCTAATACATCTTTTAATTTTCCAAATATGAATCAGCTACTTATACTTTATTTTAAAGTGTTCTATCTTAAATATCAGGGGTCTTTCAAAAAACTAACTATGATTTTGAAAAAAAATCATAATAAAATTATCTGAAATTAATTTTTTCAACATGTTCTATCGATTTCAGTATACAAAAATATTATCTGGAAGATCTTTAAGGAAAATTACAAAAATCATATGAAAACACACTCACCCAGTCAGAATACTTGTTGATACCAAGGTAGTAGGAATGCATGCCCAGGTCATATTCCAGGTTGTGCTGAACAATTTTTTTCAGTTTTTCTTCGAAGATTGCTTTACGCACTTGGTCCTCCAAACCTTGGTAATTCTTGCCATGGAGCTCCTGTAAATATCTGAAATTGTTAAAATGGCCTACCCATATCGCCAAACTCAAAGTTATAATCTGTTAGAGTAATAGATTTTCGAAAAAAAAACATATTAAAGGCAAATTTCAGAAAAGAGATAAATAATTTCAATATAGGGTTTCTAGATATTTCCTCATCCACGTAAATTATGATTAATAAAACTATTAATATTTCTTAAAAGGGCTGTAAACAACTTTTAAGATGATATATATGTTGAATTATGCGCTAATATAATTCTTTATAATACAATATATCATAATTTATGATTGTAAAACGATGTTTGACAAGTTTTACCGCAAAGGTTTCTTTTGAACGGAAAAATCGTAATTTATTTTAAGGAAAAATAAAGACTATTCCTGTTCTTAGGATGAAGTATGAAGGATGAATTGTGAATAGTAATGATAAACCGAAAATAAAAGTGTCCAGGGATGGGAAACGAACCCTCAGTTTACCGCTTACCAGACAGATGCCATGTCCATTAGGATACCCTGGACATATTTTTACATTTTTAACGGAACTCTGTTGTAATCCTGGACACTTTTATGTTTCCCTTCATCATTTCTCTTCACAATTCAACCTTTCATACTTCGTTCCTAAGGATAGATATAGTCGTTTTTCTCCTTTAAATAATCACGATTTTTCTTTAAAAATATCATTTTCAGTGACACTTGTCAATCATGGTTTATAATTCTTTATAATCAAGGTAAATCAATTATAGATTTTAAATTAACGATATTCAATTATAGTCATGTGGTATAATTCTATCAAATTTATAGAAACTTATTTTTTTCTATGATTCAAAAGAGTAAGATAAATTCATTCCGAAAATATACAAACCTTGAAGCGTTCCCAGTGGTGGTCGTCGTCGTTCGTGGGCCGGGCGAGGCATTGTGACCCAAGGGCCAGGAGTGTAAGGGCAACAAGGAACTTCATCCTGAAAAGCAATGACCAATTTGAATTATATCCAAGGAATTGCACAATATATATATATATAATGCACAATATATATATATATAATATAAAAACATGTTGTAATGTGTTTTGATCCTATAGGATGACTGTAGTGTGGCATGTTAGTTGCGTTTGTTGTAGCCAAAATGTTCAGAGTGAGTTCAGGCATGATTGTGATTGCACAAAAGAACAAGACATGTTGGATGTCACCACAGAGATGGAGAGAGGGTGCAGCCGACACCGGTCAAGGCAGATCTGTAGAGAGGGCTCTGTCAATCATCGCGTCTTAGAGCGGCTGATCTGTTTAAGCAAGTTGGGGCACACATAGTACTCCGACATGTTATTCAGAGACCTTCATCTTGTCTGGCGTCGACTGTCACTCAATCTAACTTTATTATTTTGTTTTGCATTACATCATGACCAAACTGGGGATTTAAATTGTTTTTACAGTTTTGGTTATTATACTATAGCTATATTACATATAATATGAAAGTATTTATTGGAATGTATTACAACATAAATATATACTCTTAATTGAAAATAACAAAGAATGCCAAATTCATTCATGTTTTAGGCTGTTGCTGTTGCTTAGCCTATTAGAAGAAGTAACCATTACTGATAATGAAAACTTAAAATTTTATATTATAATCGTAGTTTATTTGGCATAAATAAAATACATAAATAAAAAGATCGACTTGGCTTGAAAAAACTTCTGTCTATTTTTATAAAGTTTTTTTTATATGGAAAATATTTTTGCATATGGGAGAGAGAGTAATATACAGATTAGTTAATAAAATTCTGTAAAAATATTCTAAAAGATAAAAAGACAAATAACCACATCTAGCTGAAAAAAAAGTTTCATAATAAAATATAAAGCGGCTTATGATTGTAGAACGACGTTTTGACAAGTTTTACCGCAAATGTTTCTTCTGAACGAAAAATAATAATTTATTTTAAGGAGAAATAACGACTATTTGTATCCTTAGGGATGGAGTATATAAGGATAAATTATAAAGAGTAATGATGAACGAAAAAATAAAATTGTCCAGGGATGGCCAATTCATTAAAATTAATTACGATTTTTCGTTCAAAAGACACATTTGCGGTAAAACTTGTCAG